AGCCGTAGTAGCATCGACTACCCTACACTATAGCATGCGTGGCGATGAGGGCCAGCCCCCCAGGCCACCATTTAGTAGCAGTAAGAGTAGGAGTGTCAACAGGAAGTGAGCCTCACCGTCATCACCATCACCAGCAATAAAGGTAGCGGTCGTCGCGAGGCCCTTCACATTAGAGCCGTGACCCAACTCAGTTTGACAATATCTGCCAACTAGATTGACACTACCACTTTTATCAATGGGGACTTACGAACCAACGACTTCCATCGTCATCACTTTGGGTATCCATTCGCGTCTTTGTTTTTCCGACCCTTGCCCTACTATGGCTTGCAAGAAGGGCACCATCGAGTCCCACATCCCAGAGCTATGCGGAGCTATCTCGGACATCCAGACAACCTCGAGAGGGTCTGCCGCTGGGGTCATGCCAGAGCGGGGTAGGGCTTCAGTGGGGGCTGAGGTGCTACTATGGAGATGGGGTCTAAACGGGTCATGCAAGGGTGCCACTCGGCAGAGCTCAGAGTGGGGGGAAATACGCACATGGCCAACTACATGTGTTGGTGGCAATATGGAAATTCCGTGGAAATTTTGGGAGATTCTTATTGGTTTCTGTACACCGAATCCGTATGTAAACTCTTATGGGCGTGGAAACTATCGAGCTCAGCTGAAGATAGCGAATATATATTCCAACACCAGCGGAGCCACTGTTGAGTTTACCTGTGCAAATGGAAGAACCTCCGCAAGGCTTCAGCAGCGCGTTCATCTCTACTCATGTTGCGATCCAAGTCGGGGTCCACCTCGAGACGGTCAGCCAGACGGCTCATCCAACGACGACGCCGCTGCCTGCGGGGGTCAAAGCCGTCCAGTAGGAAGGTGAGAGACTCCGTCAAGGACATGTAATGGGAGATGAAGTTCGATCAGTAGGGATGCAACAGCGATGTGTGTGTTGCCAAGCGGGATGGCACTACAACATGCGATAGCCTTCTACTGTGATTACGAGAAGGTTCGACAGCTGCCCGACCACAACAGGAAGAACGTAGGGTTAGTTTTACAAACAATACTAGAGTAGACTGAGTGTATGTCACTACAAGGTAATACACCGTGGAAGTAGTGCTTTAGGATCAGTTGCGATGAGATGAAATGCTGTGGGAGATACGACGATTATGCGCG